CATATAAAGCTGTTTTATTCTTATTTTTTGTGTTCAAATGAAAACATAGTCTATTTTGACCTATTTTTTTTATTATTCTACGAACCATGAATACAGCTAAATGAAAATCTAGGATTAAAACTACTGAATGTATAATGAATTTATAATCCGGTAGTGAGTCTGAATAGGATTAAGATGAAATTTTTTCTAAGAACAATCTTATACTCGAAGGCTTAAATGTAATCTACATCATCATCAGGTCACACAGTTAAACGAAACATTCCATGTAAAAAAAAAAAAGCATTCAAAAGTTCAGTATTAGACAATAAAGCTTGCTTGAAATGACTGATTAAGCTCTAATATAAAGCGTTATTTTTTCCATTAATATTAGCTTCAATAAGAATAGTACTATAAACTCATTTGTTGTTTCTTAAAAATAAGAATGTCTAGAAAACTAATATGCATTCACTTTTATTTTACATAATTTTACTATAAACATACAATGAATTACTCATCATTGATTTCTTTTTAGTCTATTTTTTCTATTACTAAAAGTTTTTCGATTAGTATTCATATCAATCAATTTTCATTTTTGAAATAAATTTAGACATTCTTCACAATATATAATAATTAAATCAAATGTACACGACATATTTGCTAATCGATTCGGATATAATTTCATATCCGTTTGTGTTGAGTTCTTATTGACATTTCAATACTATAAATAAAACAAATGTTATTAGCAGATGGACAAATTGTGTTTCCAGAAGAAAAACAAAAAAAAAATATCTATTTCTTTTGATGATTATATGAAATCGAAAAAGATGAATACGAATTTTTAGTTATTTAAAAGAATTAAATTATATCAATATCAATACATATGAGCGTTCATTACGACAAAGCCCACATTTACCTGATAGCAGTGAACATTACAATTAGCAACAATGGCAGGGTTGTTTTTTCAAAGCAGCAAACTCCCTGATTTATTCACTTGTTTTCACCATACTATGAGATTAAATAAAAAGTTTTTCAATTATCATATCTATTATATGACTCAATCGATTTTAAATATCATAACCAAAGAAAAAAATAAAAATAAAAACTGTAATCATAAAATCAAAAACATAATCGAATAGTAATGATATTATTTTATAAAAGCATTTTTATTCTTAAGAGAATATGATTGAAAAGAAAATTGATTTTATAAGACATTTTTCTCTTGGGATTTTATGATAAAGAATTTGTAAAATGTTGAATAAATTAATAGATAACAATTATTTTATTAAAAATAAAAAAAAAAAATGAAACTTACGAAAGTGAACGATATGTTGATATAAGATGATTATAACCAGTCGAATTATCTTGTTGATCATTAGATGTTAATATTAAATTTGTATTGGAATGTAATAAATTTTGTATATTATCATTTGTTGATGATAAAACATTTTTTGTTAAAACTTTTGGAATTATTGGACGAAATGCTATTGTAGGAGTTTTTATATTTGATGTATTTACTGATTCAAGTTGTTCAATATAAATTGATTGCGTAGAAGAAACAAAATTCATTGGAAATAATTGTGACATTAAACTTTGATCTGTTATTGATATTCTATAATTTAGACAAAAAAAAAAAGAAATTCTTTGTTTTTTTTATATATATAGTATTTATTTACGAATAGATTAAATAGTTTGCAATGTATAATAAAAATTAGGAATTCTATATAACGCAGGAAGAATAAACAATGTCGGATGTTTCATAGGAAATAGATCATTCATTATGAAGAAATATTATTTTTTAAATCTCATTGGAATATGAAAAGTCTCGAAAGAAAATAAATGAGAGTTTTATCTATTCTTCTCAATCGATTACGGTATATAATTTATTCTATTGATTCAATAAGTATTTAAAAAATAATTTTCAACAGATTATATATAAATACTTTTTTAAATGAAACTTACCGTCCAATTGATCGAAGAGTTCCAAACAAAAATGGTATTTCAAAACGATAAATTGATCGATACCTCTCTATAATAATAATATAAAAATGAGTAATTTTCTTTTTTTTTTTCGAAAATAAATTTACCTTTTGATTGTTCATATGCTGCTTTACGTAAACTTTCAACTATTCGTCGAATAATATTAGCAACAAGAGACATTATCTAAGAATAAAAAACAAAACTAGTTAATCATATTTCATCAAAAAATAAAAATAAAAATTTATATTTTTTTACTTTATCTCTCATTTGTAAATCTTCTGAAGTTGATGCTAATTCAGTTAAAGCTGTATGAATACAAAAACCGAACACTTCAGCTGGTGGTAAAGCTATTATATAAACGAAAACAAAAAAAAACAAATTATAAAACATCTTATTAATCTTATATTTAAATTTTTTATTTACTATGTTTATAATTAAATGAAGCTATTTCATAATATATAGCCGTAGGTATTTTTTCATAGAAATCAATTAAAATTTGTACAATTTCTGTTCGAATCTTTAAAATAAATAATAAATTTTCTAATTTTCTTGTTTAATATGAAATAAGAATTTTTTTTTTACTTGGCATCCTTCTGTAAGTTCAACAGCTAAATAAGCTAATGAAATAATAATATTTTCTAAACGTTGATCAATTGTAAGTTTATGATCTGATTGTATATGATCACGCACTTGTGTTAATAATGAATTAAGTAAAAGAGATGCACGCTAAAATCAATAAAAAACAACATCCAACAGATTATAAGATTATTAACAAGTAATCTCTTCTTTTTTTTTTTTTTATTACTTTATTATAGGATAATAATTGATCAGGATCATTCGATTTTGATATCGAACGTACAAATGATAAAAGTATATTTATATGATTTGATTCCAATAACATTATTAATTAAATTTTATTCATTATTATTATTACGAACTAATATACCCACAAACAATATAATAGCATTCTATTGAGTATATTCATTCTTTATTTATTGTTTCCTTTTTTTTTTTTTATATATTCTTCTTTTTCTTCTTCGTTCTAACTCATTAATGATTGATTTTTATTGTTAACAAATCAAATTTTTTCTTTACTGCTATAACAATAAAACACAACATATACGCAAAATGTTCATCAACAACATCTGACATCTATACCATACGATCATAATTCATAGTATAAGAAACTATTATTTATCGACTCTAATATGATAAATGTTGAAAAATGATAGCTCAGCTAAATATTTTTTGGAAATTCCTTTTTTATTTTTCTCCAATCTTTTATCCTATTTGATTAGCGAACTATTATCGCTACTAAATGATAATTAATTGATATAAACAAGACTAATCTCAAAGCTAGAAGAAAATATATTACAAATCAGGAACTTCTTTTTAATCGACTAACTCATTCATCACTGACACTTTTTTTCTGCAATGTAATAACCCTATAGATTTTCTGCTAATAAACCTAGACGCAACATAACATCTTAGTTTCAAGAGAGAGAGAGAGAGAGAAAAAAAAAGAACGAGCAAGGAACAACATATTTAGGTTCTCTCTTTGTGCCCATCTGCTATTGCCTATTTGTGTAAGTATATTGATCTGAATGTTTTCTTTTTAGTCTCGTTTTTTTTTTTTTTTCAATGAATAAATTACTTTCGTGCATATGATGGAGATCGAATATTATTCACACAAGTTTATTTTGTGATCAAAATCCATCATGTTCATATAAAATAGTAAGATCAAGTGCTCTTGTTCAATTTGCATTCTATTATTCTTAAAAATAAATCATCATATTAAATAAGTTGTTTTCTTGTTATCAATTTATTTTGCTATAATGTAATAAGGGCTAAACAAATTTTTTTTTTCTTGTTGCTTATCAAGTTTATAATTAGACATGTTTCCTCGTACAAAGTTTGATAGCACAGTCGATGATAGGTGTCATTTGATATATATATATAATCAACCATCACTTTTCGGTTGATGTTGTTATTTTTTTACGAAATAAATATTCTACTTTTGTTTTCTATAGATAAATAATAATCCTAATGCCCTTCAGTAAAATACTACTCTTATCTAGATTAGATTTTGAGTTCTAGACATTAGCGACATGCAATAACAACAACACTACAAGATGTGTCTTAATTTCATTTTGAAAATGTTCACATTATTGTAAAATCCAAAAAACAAATAGAAAAAAATGAGAATGATGACATCAAGCATACAAGTGTCAATAGAAAACTGACGGCTTTTCTATTGTATTTATATAAAATGTAATGATGATTATTTTGAGTAAAGAATGCGAACGAACGTGCATTGTTCAATAAAAGAAGAAAACGGCTACATCAATCAAACACATAGAAGGAAAAGAAAGTCGACCAAAAAAGAAAAGGTCAATGACTAGAACGACAATAAATATTGGAACCAGATGAATATATAGACTTGTATATACATCTCGAACCTGTCTGTCATCACTGAATAATACCAGTAATATTTTGTTGAGAAAAGCAAAAATAGAAAGAGCACGAGAATGAGAGAGAGAGAGAGAGAGAGAGAGAAAGAGAGACAAAGAGACTGAGAAAGAGAGAAGAAATGAAAACGAGTTGCGAAGCGGAAATCATGGATGGCACGGAGAAAAGTGTGTAGCAATGATAGTTAAGAAGAAAAAAGAGACATTCGCTCTTTTTTTTTTTTTTTTCTTACATCCATAGTGTAAACCTTTACATCTACACAAACATCATAAGTCCATAAAATGATACAGATATACATGTATATATAAACATGTTTGAATTATATAGGTATAATAGCACTAATCAATTGAGTAGTGTCTATTAAATTATAAGACATTCTATCGATAATGAACTCGTTAGATTTTCTTATTTTTCTTCTTTCATATTGTAAATTTGCTTTGTATTTTAGAAGCAAACAATAAGAATATTAATTTATAATAAGATCAAAGTTAAATTTGTTTATAGCAATGCTTGTCTAATGTTATTTATTATTCCCTATAGAAACAAATACCTTTTTTATCATACAAATACCACTAATGTGGCCTCATTCAACTTCTACGATCATTAGACAAACTTTTGAACATGAAAATCCTATTCATTCAAGTGCAATAACAAATGTAACAACAAGTGTATCATCGACAGCATCAATAATACAAACAATTGCTACACCAAATGATATTTATGATTCACGTATAACAAAACCATTTGCTCTTATTTGTTTATTTGTTGGTAGCATTGGAAATTCATTATCGTTTATTGTTTTTAACCAAAAACAATTACGAAAACATTCAACATTTCGTTATTTAGCTTATTTATCAATTGTGGATTTAATTGTACTTTATTTAGGTCTAGGAAATATTATATTACGTGATTATTTTTCATTTGATATAAGAGTACAAAATTTATTTCTATGCAAATTTCATACATTTTTAACATATGTTACAACACAATTATCATCATGGATATTAACCATTGTTTCAATTGATCGTGCCATTGCATGTACAGTTATGCAATTAAATAAACGTATATGTCGACCGAAATCAACTGATCGAATATTTCTTATCATGTGTATAATTATCTCATTAATAAATAGTCATATTTTATTATTTATGGGTTCAAAACGTACCATAATTCATTCATCGATTCATAATATATCAACATATCAAGATATTATTATATGTACACATAATACATCAAGAACTTATTTTAAATTTTTTGAAAAACCTTACAATATAATTGATCTTTTATCTTATGTACTCATTCCATTTATTATAATGACAATATGTGCTGGTATCATAGCTTATCGTCTATTTTTTTCATTACGTCATACAACAGTACGTATAGCAGTTAAAGGAAAAACACGTAAAGGAACACGACGTGCTAAACAAGTATCATATATGTTATTAACATTAAATTTAGTTTTTGTTATATTATTAACACCTATTGTTATTGGTCAAATATTTCAAGAACTAAATCAAGAATATCGATATCGTTTATATAATTCAATAACATTATTAATGTCATATTCAAATCATGCATTAAATTTTGTTCTTTATGGAATAGCATCACCACAATTTCGTTTAACATTAAAACAATTACTAGGTTTGGAAAGTTCTTATGCAAGACAAAGACGTTTACATACATTTGGTTATTGTACTTCAACAGCTTTTTAAATTTTATTATGTAACAATAATAATAACAACAACAAGAAAAAGAACAAAATAAACAAATATTTTATGATAAAATACGAATTTTTTTTTCTAAAATAATAGATGGTTGTAAATAATCTTGACAAATTTTATTTAATGCTTCAAGTGCTATTTGTGCATGTAAACAAACAATATCATCTTTATCATTTTTATAAAGATAATTTATTAATTGATAAAATGAGAGTAATTCATTTCCAAATATAGTTAACCATGTTGATTGTTCAAGTGATTGACATAGAAGTTCACAGACAAGAATTGATGCACGACGAACATTGGAAGATTCTGATATTGATAAATAACTTTTCAAAGCAATTAAAATCTAATGAACAAAAAAAAAACAACATTTGATAAAAATATTTATTTTTTATTAAAAAACAAACAATTATTTACTTCAGAAAGATCTTTTGAAAGTGAATATTTTAAAACAGTACATAATTGACCGAGATTTGATAATGCACTTGCTCGATACATATCATCATCTGTTTGTTTTGATGCATTCAGAAATGTATTTATCAATAATGAAGAATATTTTATTGACATATCACCTTGAAAATAATACACAAATAGAAAAACATGTCAGAAAGATAAGAATTGTACTAGTTAAACTTACTTGTCCCTTCAAAGAAAATTAATTTTTCTCGGATAAAAAAAAAAAAAAAATCGAAATTGAGATAAGTATATAGTTTTTGGGGATTTGCGTCATGTTCTGTTTGAAAATCTCTAAGAAGCTTAATTGTCAGTAATTATCCTTTTTATTTTTATAGTGGGTGTAAAGCTACAGTATCTGATAGAGTCGAAGTATTTATTTAAATAGATGAATATTTTTGTGACAATTTTGTAAAATATTGACCTTGTCATCTCTTTTTTTTGGTCTCAGCACGAAACGTAAGCATTTGAAAAAGAAAGATCTCCATCAGACATTGCAATCTAGCATGTTATTTTAGAAAAAAAAAACAAATTAAATCCACAGAGGATTTCGTGTTGTCAAATGAGCTATTTTTTTTTAATTGTTGTTGGTTGAATATCTCTTGAAAACGTCATGATATGAGTCTAGAAATTTTAACATTATCTCTTTACTATAGTTACAACATATCTTGAAAATTTTATGTGATTTGAATGTATTTATTCTACAATTGATTTTAACGAAGACATAGATTCAAATATATGAAAATAGATAATTTCAAGGACATTTCATGATTGAATATAATTTGTTTTGTGCATTTATGAAGTAAAAAAAAAAAGAAAGCCTTTGTCAATTTACATAAAAAAACAAAAAAAAAAGGTCAAAGTAAACGCATACAAATAGTTCTCTTTAATCTATATCTATCTACGGTTAAATATAGACTAGATTTTTAGTTTCTATATCATTATCATTCTTTCTTTTATGTAATCAATTAATAAGAAAAAAATGCCTGAAAGTAATAAAAAAGAGATATCTAGTGACACTCTATTATCTAGAAAATAATACTTTGAAAAGAAAAAAAAAAACTAAACGTATACATCTCATTTCATTTTCTCACATCAAAATATATGTAAATCCTTCAAAGAGATATTTTTTCTTGAAAATGAATATGATTATTTTTTCTAAATAATATATAATTATCTTACCAAGTGATCGACATATTTTAACTAAAATTTCTCCAACTTTTAATTTATCTTCTAATTTTCGATTTTTATTTATATATTCATTACAAAGTAATGGTAAAATTTTATCTGTAAATTGATTAGTTAATACACTAAATACATTAATAGCTGCTAAATATTCATATGAATCATCAGCATATAAATGTTCTTGAAAACGTTGAAATAATTTAATATTATCATTTTGAATTTTATCTAATGTTTCTTTATCATTTTGTTCAATTAAACGTCGAAATAATATTAAACCATGTGCACGTATTGGTATACTTGAATCATATAAACAAGTTAAAGCATTTTGAAATGTTTCTTCACGTAAATCACGTTCATTATTAAGTTCTTCAATTAATAATGATGATTTTGTTTTAGTAGATTCTTCTTTAATAGCACCATATGTTATAAATGCAATTGATAATTCATGTGCTAATTGACATAATTCATTATTTGAATGATTTTGTTCAATCCATATTAATGATGAATAAAATGATGCAAGAATTTGTTTATTTTCAAATGATAACTTAAAAAAAAAAATTAAAAATTAAACAAAGATAATAGAAGAAAATTTACTTGATCATAATGTGTTATTAATAATGATGCAATTGTAAAAATAATTTGTAATACTTCATTATCGGAAGATAAATCATCATCATCATCATCATTATCAACGTCCAAATTCATTTTTGTAACAAGATTTTCTTTGACTTTTTCTTGACATGTTTTCGTTATTTTTTCAAGTATAATCTATAATAAATTAGGTGATAATAACTTTTAGCATTTATCATAGTTTCTAAAATTTTGTATGTGTTATTTTCATATATTAATCTAATTATCGGATATAAAAATATCAGAATTAGTTGTCTAAATACTTTTATGTTTTTTTCTTCCATACGACTGATTCTTATTAATTGAATAATCTTTGAATATGAAAATGTCTTTTTCATGAGAGTTTACAATAATCATTACTATTATGAATCTGAGAAAAAGTACTCAGAATGAAACATGATAGAGAAATTTTTCAATATGTAACATCAATTAGCTATATACATATATAGTTATATTTGTTTCAATGTTTTTTCATATCCTTGATAGTTCCATAATTACATTCAGCTGATATTATAAATTGTTTTCAAATGTAATAAATGTCTAGTTTGTTTTCATGACAAGCAGATGTTATGATAAAAGTCAAGGCTATTTACTCCATTATCATTCAAAATGATTACTGTCATGTTTCTTGCCTTTTTATAATATGTTCTTAAAATCTATTAATTTGCACGAATGAATAATTTTATTTGTCTTTCAGCAGAAAACTATTTATTTTATATTTATACATAATTTTCTTGTTGATCTATCAGAGTCAAAGTATAACTGATGAAAAACAACTTCAACACTTTTCTCTTTTGTAATCATCAGATATAGATCGATGCAATTGATATCTAATCATCAGTATGTGTAAGGTTGATTCCATCTGTTTTAGATTATCTGATGAATGAGAGATGATATATATGATTATGTAAATTACAGAAAAAATCGCTACAATAACAATACTAAAAATGTCTCACTTGAAAAATTTTAAAGAGTGTATCAGAATGAAATGAACTTAATTTTGGTATGTTTTTCTTTTAGTTTATAATCATAAAAAGTTTTGTTTATGTATTAAAAAGAAAGAGAATGTTAATTTATACAAAACTGTTGACTTTGTTTTACAAATCAGTTCAACCTCGTGTGCGCTAAGTATCAAAGATTCATGACTACTCATCCATTCAACTGTAATTTCTTATTTTTTATTTATGTTTATTAATCTATGCCGAGTCTTTGATCATCAAAACCGATGTTAGAAGTTAATTACTTAGCATTAATGAATAGAGAAGTTTATGCTACATGGCTCTATGACTTTTTCAAGGTTTCTGATGCTGATGTTCATGACAAAAAGACTTGCCGATATTATTAATTGTACTTTCAAAACTTATCTTTGACACGGAGTTATGATCTGTTTACTGAATTCTCGATTGATTCGTGAATTAATTCTCAAAAAAAAAGAAAAATCAAATGACAGAATTTCGATCTAAAACTTTGCCTTTAGATAGAATCGAGTTCAATTAGAAATTCAAAAGCTCGACAAAGGAATATTCTTTGTGTCTGATAATTAGAGGATTTTCTAAGAATCATTAAATATATTCATAGGCAAAAATATAGGATCAAAATCCTATTCGGTTTACCGAAAAAGTGCGTCAAAAATTCAGTGAATCAGTCATGACTTGGTATCGAAGGCCGATGGGGGGCAAATTCTGTTCGATTGTTGCTAGTCTCAATGAAATATGTCTGTGAGTCCAATATGAAGTTGTTCTTTTGTGAGTGACAGGGCTATTCTTCTTGACAAAGAAACGCTTTGAACTGATCAATCGCTTTTAAATTCTGACTCTGTGTACAAGATAAGCACCATTGAATTACACATCTATTTATTGAAATTTTAGCTTCTTGCTTAGTTTATAACAACAAATTGAATAACGATGTTTCAATTTAACATTTTGACGACAGATTACTGGAGTCTACTAAATATACAGACTCGATGTTCAAAGGAGATTGATCAGTTGAAAATATTTTCTCTTTGAGATATTCGTTATATTCAAATTGATTTTTATCGAAGGACGGGGGCGCATAAGAAGCGAAATCGGCCCATCGGACTTTTCTTGGTCAATCCCATTGAATCATATATTAATTGAAAGAACATGTTGAAATTAACATTTTGACACTACTTTCATTAAGTTTTGATCGAATTTCCAAAGCAAAAAGTCATTAACAAAGTAACCGATTTTTGGTCATTAATTCAATAATCGACTCTATCGTAATCGACTCAATTTTCGAATAAATTCATTATAAAAATTGATTGTAAAATTAAGCATTTGATGGCTTTTTTATAGGACGTCAATTCTATATATGAATCAACAATTGATTGTTTGATTTAGTGGAGAGGAGAACTGATATACTGGTAGGCACTGTTACAATAGGCCCTCCATTTACCATCAACTTTTATCTTTCAACAAATATTTTGTCATAAAAATGAAAGGTACCAAAATTCTAGTATTGATCATTGGATAGCCCTTTTCAAAAGCTACCAAACTGTATATTTTCTAAAGTCTAAAAAGTATAGCCACTAGGAAAATTTCAAGGCACATTATGCTCGGGGCACGGTTTTTTCATGTTTTTACCTATTTTTGACTAATAATGATCCTTTTTTGTCAACAAAAATCCTAGTCTCATCCAAAACTAATGTCAGATCCGAACTCAGCATAAAAAACTGAGTCGCTGTATATATATTTCAAATATCTTCGAGAATTTTCGTTTTTCTCGAAAAATTCGTCCCTACTCCCCCTCAGGATACCCAACAAGAAAATGAAGAAAAATGAAATTTCTCGAAGATATTTGAAATATATATTAAGCGACTCAGTTTCCGATGCTAAGTTCGGATCTGATATTAGTTTTGGCTTGGGCTAGAATTTTTGTTAATAAACAGGCTCATTTCTAGTCAAAATTAGGCAAAAACCGTACCCCGAGCACAATGTGCCTTGAAATTTTCCTAGTGGACATATTTTTTTAGACTTTAGAAAATATACAGTTTGGTAGCTTTTGAAAATGGCTATCCAATGATTAATACTAGAATTTTGGTACCTTTCATTTTTATGACAAAATATTTGTTGAAAGATAAAAATTGATGGTCAATAGAAGGCCTATTTCAACAGTGCCTACCAACATATCAGCTCTTCTCTCCACTAAATCAAACAATCAATTATTGATTCATGTATAGAATTGAAGCCGTATAAAAAAAGCTATCAAATACTCAATTTCACAACTATTTTTTTGTAATCAATTTACTCCAAAAATGAGTCGACTATGATAGAGTCGATTATTGAATTAATGACCAAAAATAAACCATTTTGTTAATAGCTTCTTGCTTAGAAAATTCGATCGAAATCCTATAAAAATAGTATTAAAATGCTAATCTCAACATACTTTTTCAATTGATATATGTTTCAATGGGATTGATAGAGAAAAGTCCTATGAACCGATGTGGCTTGTTATGCGCCCCCGTCCTTTAAAAAAAAACAAATCTATTCATACCTGTATAACTTTTATAGTATCATCAACATTTTTAATAAATATATCAATATGTTCCGTTAAATATTCCATAATATATTTCAAAATTTGCATAATTTTATATTGTTTTATACTTATTTGTTTATCATTTTCAGTCCAAATATCTGCTTGATTTAATTGTTTATTTGTTATTAATAGTTGTAATAAATCAAGAAAAATTTTAATAATTAAACAATCATTATTTTCAATGGAAAATAAAATTTTAATAATTGATTGACAAAATATTTCAATATTAATATCATCATTTTTATCAATAATTAAATTATATTTTATTGATATATCCGGAAGATATTTTAATGAAAGATATTTAAAATCGAATAAAATTTTTTTAAAATATTTAATACATATATCAATATTCATTGATGAAAATAATATATTTAATATATTTAAAAATTGATTTTTTAATGATGATAAAGATTTTTCTAATGATATATAAATATTAATTAATTCATTAAGATAATTTTCATATAAATAAATTTTAATTTGTTCATTTGATATAATATTTATTAAATTATATAAATCATTAATAAATAATTCAAATTGTTCATTTGTACAAATTTCATTTGATAAAGTATTTTGACATAATATTAATGGTTGAAATAATATTGAAAATATTTCATCTTGAATTAATTTTGAATATTTTTTATATAAATCATTTATTGATATACATATAACAGGCATAAAACGTTTATTATGTATTAGTTCAATTAATTGAAATTTAATACATTGAATATATTCATCTGGTTTTAATTGTTTTGGACATGTTGAAAGTATTTTTGATATTGATATATATAAACGATCATTAGGTAATGTTGATTCAAATATAATATCAAGTATTTGTTGTATACCATGATTATTTGTATTAATTAATATTGATGTTAAAATATTTCCACAATGATTTTTAAGCCATAATGGACTATTAATTGTTGTTGATAATAAACGATTTAATAAAAGAATTTGTTGAATAAATATTTTTGAAAAATTTTCTTTTAAATAATTTAAATTTTCATAAAGATTTTGTGATGAAAAATTTTCAATTGTATATTTTAAATTTGGTGAATAAAGTAATTGTAAATGACTTAATATTAATTCTAATAAATAATTTTTATATAAATATTGTATAAAAAATGAATTTTTATTTAAATTTATAATTGATTTCATAAGAAAATTTAATATTTGATTAAGATTATACATTCGATTATGATGTGTTAAAGAAGTTTTTAATTTTAATAAATGTATTGATGTATTTGAATATTTTAAATAATTTTCTATTGAAATAAATATTCCATCATCAAAATGAAATACAAGACCAAGAAAAATAATAAATGATAATGAACGAGATAGAATTGTTTCATCTTGTATACTAAATAATGGTAAATGTGATGAAATATTTTTTTGTTCATATAAAAGAAGTTTTTCAATTAAATTTATATGAATTTGTAAATAACGATAATAAAGTTGATCATCTTGATTTAATGATATTATTAAACCAATTGGTTTACTTATTTCAAAAAAATGATCAATTGCATTAGAAAATATTAGATTGATAGTTAAGATTTGTTGTTGTTCGTTATCTTCATTGGAAACTAAAATAAAGATATTTTTATTCATTGAACTTTGAAATTTTAGATATATTATTTTTTTTTCTTTTAAATTGAAAATACAAGAGAAATTTATCATTTTAACGTAAATAAGAGAAAAAAAAACACATTTAGATTACTTTTTACTGTTGATATTGGTTTCATTAAATCTTCTAAAAGTGATAATAATTGTCGATGATCGAATTCCATATTTTAATCTAAAATATAGTAAAATTGTCAGAAAAAGAAAAGCACTTATAATCATTTCAAATAAGACTTTTGCTCCTTGTAAAGAATCATTATAAACAAAAACTAAGAATTATTGTGAAGTAATACTTCAAATATTACATCATTAATGGAAATTTAATCAAAAACTATAATTATTTATTATTCACTGAAATCAGAGATTAGTATTTCATGGACTTTCGAACTAGTCCATTAACAATTAATCGAAAGATCAATTTCTAGTGACATCTGTTGTGATTTTCTCGTCTTGATATATTTTTACTACAAAAATTTTCTCAACGATTGGAAAGTACTTATGTGTATTTCTATAATCTAAAGTAGAAAAACTAATTTCACTTCTAAAGCAACAATCTTCATTTCAGAGAAAACTGAACTATTGTTGAATTCTTTTAGATTGTCACACACTATAGTTTCTGAATAAAAATACAATTGCTTATAGCTATCAAAATCATGTTTTTGTCATTAGATAGAACAATATAGGAGACTTTTATCTGTGTAATATTCATCAAGTTCAAAGAAATTGTTCAAGGATATTTGCAGTTGAACATTTTCTTTGTTTCACGTTTCTACAACTTATCGTAGCAATCTATGCTCAAGATTCACCAAAATGCAGGTCAAAGAGAACTGTGTCACGCATGAAATTTTCAGATTTCAGCACATTTCTCTTGAAGCATGAGTCTAAGATGAGGATGAAAAATTTGAGCAATATTTTAGTGTAATTTGATCATAGATTACAATGAAAAACCGTTCATAAACGAATATCCTTCAACAACTTCTTCGAACTTAATAAACTTTATACAGATAGAGGTGCCCAACATTCTTCTATCTAAGGATGAAAATCCGATTTGATAGCTATAAATGATTGAAAATTACTCAAACAATGACGGTTGGTATTTTTAAAAAAGCACAACAATAGTTTTACTGGTCTCAAAACTATTGCAGAAGCAGTCTTACATTTTCTAACTAGTGTTATATTAGAGATGCGCAAAGCAAGTTTTTTTGTTTTTTTTCGTATTCTGTACCCTGACTGAGAAAAATTTTTGTAATCCTGACACTGAGAGACGAACAACACACTTCAAAAATTTGAGAAATTTCAGATACGAGACTTCATGTAACTTTACGAGATTTCAAGATAGTTCCAGAATGAATCTTGCGCCTTTTTTCATGACTGTACTATGTCCAATTGTATCTCCTATGCAGTCAAATAATACAAACTTCCATCAATTTAAAGTAATATCATTGATAACAAATCAACTGCGTACATTTTTTTTTCATTTTGAAAGAATTTATATTTTGACTATTTTACTGCACATCACTTATTTCACTTCTCTATTGTCTATTCTACTTTCCAAACTACATTGAATTGAATGAATTTGTTTTTTTTTGTCATTTCAATTCAGTAGCGCAATGTATTATGTAAATATTAAAACGATAGTTCTCAAAACAATGAAAATATTTTTCATCGAAATAATAATTTTCAGATCTCATTGAGTATTCTTAGCAACAAGACACAAAAATGAGGAAAATTTTATTGAACAGAAAAAATAATATATATATATATATATATGTAGAAAAAAAATTCAGCCTACAAGGAAAAATATAAGTGATCGATAGTATATATATATATATACAATAAGGCACGTAGTTATTTACGATGAACAAAGATAAAAATAAAATGAGATAAAATAAAAAGTCACCGTTTAAGGTTCACAAAAAAAGAAAATGAAACAAAAATATAATAGACTAAGGCAAAGAGAGAAAGAAAAAAAACAAAAGCACCATTGGGTAAGAGTTATTTACTAAGAACCATTTGTATTTGTATTGTCATTATCCCGATGAGATAAATGCCCTTGAAGTTTTTGATATTGCGTCCACTAAATACAAAATGAATATGAAAATATCTCAAATTGAAATTATTTTTTTTTTTTTACCATTTGATTTGGATCAATAGCTGGATGTTGTAAATGAATTCCTTTTTTACAAAATGTGTTTAAATATGTGATACCTAATAATGAAAAAATGTTTATTTTTTTTATGTTTTTTTTTAATCTATACCTCGTTCTTCCATTCGATTATATTTTATAATCCATTCATTTAAGAGAAGATTATAATAACGAGGTGTTTCAAAATATTTTAAATATTTTCGTGTTTGATTTGTTGGAAAAATACGTTCAAATGAACCACGTCGTGCAAATTCATCTTCTGTTTCAATTAGAATTCTTAAATCATCGGGTGTTAAAACATCAAGAATATTTCTTCGGGCTTGCTAGAAGAAAAAAAAACATTTTTGTTGAAGAAAAATTCAATTTCTATCGTTTGTTTTTTTTGTTTTTTACTTCATCATGATAACGTTGAGCAAAATATTGATGTTTAAGTTTTTCATCTGTTGATAATCCTTGTGGAAGAACTCGACGATCGAATATAAGACTTTTTGGTAATTTTGGTTTTCTATAATTGAAAAACAAAAAAAAAAAAAAAAAAAAAGAATTAATTTTATCTGTAAGTTAAATAAAATCATTAAGTTACCGTCGTGCTGAACCTTCATATAAAGTATCTCTTCGATCAGGTATCATATAACCACTTAAATTAAGTAAATCACTTATCATCGCACCTTTTACACTTATATCTAATGGTGAATTTGAATGCAAACTAATAAGAAATTAAATTTTTTTTTTTATTGATTTTATTTTAAATAAAAAAAAAAAATTATTTATTTTACCTTGGAGAAATATTTACTTCAACAATATATGGTTTACATTGTTCATCAAGTATAACATCAAAACCGAAAAGTTCATGAACACTAAATTTTCGTCGAACATTTGCTTTTGTTAATACATTAATGTATGCATCAGCACTGGAATTTAATATTAAAAGAAAAATTAAAAAAAAATCTTGTATCACAATTCTTTTGAGACTCAAATGTTAAACACATTGTAGTTGCTTTTGCTAATTACAGAAATAATGATCTATTCGATCTATTTTGGAACACATTTCTTCATCATCTTTTTATTCAGTCATTTAATAATGTAATGAGAAAGTAGGTTAGATTATAACGAGACGTTACTAATATATGGTCTATAAAGAAAATGGTAAATTATTTAGTTGTCTACTTCAACACTCTTTTAGATTGTATTCTACCGGAAACAATGACATTCTTTATTATGATCAAAGAATGATGAATACTTGAGCTAGGCTCAGTCCAGGGTTATTGAAAATTTAACATGAACTGATCCTATGTCTGATCAACACTCAAGCATAGTTTTGTGGTTTTTTTTCTGGTTATCTACTTAACGAACTGTTAATTATAGTTTAGAAAAGTCTTTTTTTTGTGATCAATTTCTATGAAATTTGAATTTCATTTTTAAACAAGAAGAAATGCGAACGCGAAAATCGTATTTAATGATCAATCGCTTTCAACATTAATCGTATATCATTAGGCAATCTCTATTGAAATTAGAGAAAATCTAAAAGGATTTATATCTATCAGTCTTCTTAAATTTAAGTTTAAACTTCACACAGATAAATTTCTTAATAAAATCGATTCATTGTAGAAATATCAAATGTTTCCAGTATCTCTTATACTTTGATATAAAACAAAATGATAAAATAGATTTAGTCCATCGTAAAAAGAGCCTTTTATAATGCAATCATAATCAATGTATTGATCTCTACATAGAATAAACTGATTTAATAAAAAGATTGAGAATACAAGAACGATAACAGACATGCTGTTTTGACTTAATCAATTGACATTATGTTTGTTCTATAATTAAATCATACAAACCTAATAATTGTTTTAATAATTAAATCTTTAATTTTTTCCATAATTTCTGCTACATCAACATCACGTTTTTTCAAATATGTCCACAAAGCTTTTAAACTCCTATGTATATATATATATATAAAATTCATAGAAAAGAAATCTTTTTTTTTTTAAATATTTATCTGATTTACCATTTATGTCCAGTGCATGCAGCTGAATCATTATTTGTTCTATATTCACTATTATAACGGTTAATTGAATAATTTGTTAAGTGCATAAAACGATCACTTAATGATTTAACTGCTGCAGAATATCTATTTTTAGATAAAAATTATTAAAACTTGTTTTTTTTTAAATTTATAATACATACTTTCTCGAAGCAAATCGAGCTAAACCTATTAAAAAATACCAAAATTATTTTTATAAAAAGACTTTAAAAAAGAAAAAAGCAAACTCTAACCATCATCAAAAAGATAAATTCGTAATGGATCATGTGATGTAACATAAACATAAAGTCTTAAATCGAATTTATGTCCATTAATTAAATATGGATTAGCAATATATCTATTTGATAAAAGAAAAAATAACCAGAATTATAATTTATATTTTTCATATGAAAATATACTTTTGTACAATGACTGGACGTTTTTTAGGCACATGTTCCATTTTACTAATGACCTATATAAATAAAATGTTTTTCTTTTGCTATTTCAAATAATAAAAAAAAGAAAAGAACACTCACTCGAATACCTTGCCCTCGAGCACTAGCTGGCTGAAAAATAAACATTTATTTATTTTTCTTTACTAATGGAAAAAATATACATTTTAATTTTAAAATACATACTGGTTTAATAATCCATTTTGATTCTTTAGTATCTGTTATTTCTTCAAATACACGTTTAAATAATAAGAGATCAGCAGGTAAGACAAATGTTTGTGGCACAAAATCAAATTCACGTCTTGAATGTACAGCTTGCATATGTGATAAATTTCTCCATAAACGATCTTTTCGGCCAATTTGAAATGAACCCGGAAAATGATTGACCTTAAAAGAATATGAACAAATATAACAGTAAAATATCATTTTGTGAAACATGATCTAAAAGGGATGTTAAAATATAGAGGTAAAAATTTGAAACCACCATTGACCTTGACAAATTTAACCATGGAAACGTTATAGAAGCCTTAAAAACATTTCTCACTTCTCTTGCTTCATAGACCACAACAGATCTGATTGATATCCAATTTCAGACTGTACATCAATAACAACTCGTTATTGATATGTGTGAAGTACTTTCTTATTGCATTATTAGAAGGTTAAGTAAAAAAGATGGTGAAGGAGAATGTGTCCAGAAATAGAAACAATAAAACAATCTTTCTATGATTGACAACAGCAGCTACATGTTGTTTCACATTTTAATCTCAAAGGAATTTTGTTAAGAGCTTTTTCTAATAATACGAAACCATTGCCAGACTAAATTTGCATTTATAAATAAAACTTGTATTTTGTTTTTTTTTCTTTTGGCTGCCTACCTTTTGATATTCACGAATTGCTTTAAAACATATTGGTTTCATATGACGTGACCATGTACCCAGCCAATCATTACCCTCTGTGAAAAATCAATAATTCATTTATGATAAAATTTAATAAGAAAAAAAGAAAAACGTACCATCACCTAAAAGAAATGAGAAAAAAAAGATTATTAAAATTAATTTTTGTTTGAATAAAACTTACTGCTAATTAAACGAAAACCAGAACGTGTTACAGTATTTTTAACAACATTTGGTGTTATTGTACTCATTTTCCATTTCATCATTTTTCTTAATGGTAATGGAAGTGGTTCAACTATATTTAATACGATTAAATAAAGAGATTTAAAAAAAAAAGAAAATCAAATCAAATTTATACTTCGTTGATTTTCTGTACAAAATCGAATAGTTGGTGGAACATTACTAAATAAACTTGGTATGAGACCAGATTTAACTTCTGTATTACCAACTCGACGAGCTGTATAAGAAAGAAGAACAAATATTTGTTTTGTTTTAAAACTAATTAATGATTACTTTTATCGGAGAGAAGTAGAGCTGGATCGAGTGGAAATGAATTATCTGCATCAACTATTAAAAATGAAATGAAAAGTTAATATTATCATATTTATTGATAATTGAGAGACATACGTTCACTTTCTGAACTACGAAGTGATTCTTCTTCAAGTTCAGCTTCATATTCTTCATCTTCCATTTCAAATGGATCTTTATCCAGTGTCCTAGAAAGAATAGAGAATTAGTTTTTTGAATTTATAGAATTCTTTGAACACAGAATAATCATATTTCTATTCAATATATCGTAAAAGAACTTCACAATTCTTACGGTTGTTGTTGTAAAAAATTAATATTTTCTTCTTCAACCAACTCCTCAAAAATCTCATCGTTTTCTTCATATGAATCTTTATCAACAAGATCATCCTGTAATATTGTCGTATTTGTTGTTGTAGTCGATGCCGAAACAACATGTTTTTGACTTGATTGACTGATATCTGATAGTGTTGTCCTATTGTAACTGTCTCTTGGTGTTATTACTGGTGTTATTCTTGACTTATTTGGTGTTCTTGGTAAAATAGTTGTTCGAGTAATAACACGATGTCGTTCAATAACACGTGTTCGTATGAGATATTCAAGTTTTACATTAAGTTGATAACTTAAATCTTGTGGTGTTAAAGTTTTTTTATCGTTACTATTCTCTTGAGGTATCTGTGTTGATAAATGATTTATATCTACTACTGATTTATGTTGATTACGTTTTAATTGTTCAATAAATGTTATTGTTTGATCAAATGTTGTTGTTATGTCTGGTCGTTTTTTAGCTGAACTACATAAATCTTGACGACGCTGTAATAATTTTTGATAATTAGCATTTGAACTTGATGAAGATAAATGTTGATGATGGCCTGATGATGGAACTGGCACAATGTATGAACGTACGAAAGACACGTCTAGGTTCATTTATCGTCAACTGACACGTACGTACACAACAATCAGGCCAACTTCAAACTCTCCCCGGTTACTCCTTTTTTTTTTCTCTTTTGTCAAGTAGTGAATTCCATTCTATGTTCTCTTCTTCTCTTCGTTACCATTAGAAAATAGAGAAAAAAAGAAAGAGTCAAAGAATGGTTTCAATTTCAGAGCAGTAGAAAAAACAGTGAGAGCAAAAAACAAGAGACGATCGAAACAGGCCATTATTTGTGTTGATTGTGTTTTGTCTATATCGAATGGTAGAAATGAAATAAAACAGACAGAGAAAGAGAGACAGAGAGAAAAAGAAAAGAATTCCTTTGCTTCATTGCTCATACATACTTATGAAGTTCTTATACTACTTTTTTCTTTCTTTCCATTGTCCAATGGTGTTGATCAATAGTATGCCACGATGGTGACAAAAGTCGAATTTTTCTCTCTTTCTTTTTCTTTCATTTTAATGGATAAATGGAATTGAGCTTTAATGTGAAAGACTTTTCACACATTTCCTTCTTAAATCACTCCAATCAATCGACATACAAACAAAATATAATGTATGTATTCAAAAAGTAAATTATATATATATTGATGTATATAGCCTACAGAATGTCTCTTGTTTTGTGGCGATGTTGTTGTGCAAATATCATTGATTTCTTTTTTTTTTGACATAGTGAAGTACTTTTTAAATGTTGACAGTAGCGAGGTAAAAAACAGGATGGATTTAAAAGATCGACTTAACTTCAATATTAAATTAAGTGAATTGTTATTATTACAAACAAGTAAAATAATAGTTTAGCGAATTAATATTTTGATAGAAAGATTTCGAAAAGAGATTTTATTTAATTATACGATTGATTTAGTTTTGCTTATTTTCAAATTTCAAAATAATACAAAGGTATGAAAACATGCGTATCTATGAAACAAAAAAGTTTTATTGCTTCTTCTATGAAATGGATGCATGAGTGAATTGTTTCAATATACCGGATATCCTGTTCGTTTTTAATTGCATGATTTTGTATTGATAAAATAATAAAAAAAAATTCTTCTAAATAATTATTTGTATTCAAAAGAAAAATATAAAGCAGGATAGTAAGAAATTATAGAAACTGTGTTAATATTCCTTAATGTATTTTCGAATTGATCAATTTATTTATGAATCACATTCATAAAAAAACAAAACTAAAACAGATTATAACTGACATAAGTGTTTAAAATTTCTTCGCTGCATCCAATTAGAAAATATTTAATATGACTACAACTACTCTCATTAACCTTATTTTTGAAAATCCTTAAATTGTATATTTTTTCTTTTATGACATATTGTATTTGTTTTTAATTATCATAAAACAGGACAATTTGTTCCTGTTTTATTAAAAATCAACTGATTCACAATATATGGAATTGAATATTAGATATAAAACATGAACTACATACAAATCAAGAACAATCAGCTGACTTTCAGATTTATATGACAGTTATTCTAAACGTCATAACACGGATTAACATTCTATTTATGAATGTCCACAAAACGTGCACATTAGCAAAAACATCATTCAATAAAGAAATCCAATCACGTGATCTACAACGAATTCTATATGGGTTGTAGAGAACTTTATGAACTATTGGTTACTAAAAAAACATATTATTTTGTTTCATTGTCTTGTATTGAAAAGTGATGACGTATAAAACTAATACGTTTTAAAAAATAGTATTTGTCTTAGAAATCTTTTCTAATTGCAGGCAGAATACTTCTTAGAGATGTGTTATGGGATGTATATTATCGACGAAAATATTTATTAGTAAATTAAATGTGTTTCACAAATTTTCGAATGGCTTGGTAGAGCAAGAGATGCGAAATCATTAAACGAGTTGTGCAGCAACCATTGTGAGGTAAAAAGAGGAATGACATACATCGAACGTGTTTTTTTTTTTTTTTTTTTTGTAAATTTTATTACATTAGAAGTCGAACAAAATACGCTGTAACCCATAAATAACTAAATGATGTGAAAAAGTTCAAGAGCTTCAGTTTGCTTTAATCAATCGGCCTTATTTTGTTCACGGTGATAGAGAACTATTCAAAGTTTTTTTAATCTCAACAAAATCGTCAAATGAATACTATTTTGATCTAGTACTATTCATCTTGATAAACATTTTACACTACTCGTAGAAAACTATTTTCCTATGATTTCAGCCGAACTTAATGCTAAATATTTACTATATGTACTATGTTAGAAATATAGATCAAGTAGTCAGCCTGATTTTGATAGTTTGAGCTGAAAAATAGTTATGATATATGATAGCATCTCTTACTATGAGCTCTATAACTTAACAAAGAAAGGAATTTAACACTTTGTCAACCTATAACTACGTAACATATTCATAGGTTTTGAATGCTTAGATGAAATTCATAATATACATAGCTACATTAAAAGATTACATAATAACTAGTTCGTTGATTTTGAGTATGAGACGCATTGTCATAGATCACAACTTCTTGTCAACTAAAATCAAACGAGGTAGGACTGACTTCACTGATCTATATTTCTGTGTTAGTATATATGCTAAAAATTTCACATGTCTACTTTTTTATTGTCAATAAAAGACCTTCATTAATATATATGATTACGTAGTAAGGAAAGAAATGTTTTATTTGAAAAGATTAAATGTAAAATGCACCTTCTATTAAAAATATATATTTTAAATATATTTTCTTCATTTTTTTTATCATGATAATTAAATCAAATAAAGAAAAAAAAACACTACTGTCACCTATTCTAAACTAATACTATAGAAGAGAAAAGCATGATTTCTCAAATCATTCTATTCTCTCGTTTTTGTTAATAGTAATTGAACTAATCTAACTACCTTACATACAATATAACATGTTTGCTTGTTCTATTCATACCATTAACATATGAACGAAACTAATACTCTAATTATAGGATTATCTTATCAGTGATTCTTCTGAAACTGCTATTAGGGATATAGAATTAACTATAAAATACTTTACTAACATAATCTTCAAAATTAGTCATACTATAATATTGAAAAAATTAACTCACTTATTGAATTGAATTTACTTGGTATTAGTTTAGTACAATTTGTTAGCAAATACAATTTTTACGAAACATTTCTTTCTTCTATAAACAGTGTTATCATATTCAATCTAATCTTCTCATAAAATAGATCATTGGTATTCACGCTTTTCTTTCAATCTATATAATAAACAACCTTTCCTTTTCTTCTTATGTCCGTTTCCGATTTTACATAAAAACTAAAATATCTTTCCGTTTCATAAAATTCTTCTAGTAGTATAAAGATTAACTATTATATTAGTCTTACCCGTCATTTGATACAGCCGATGCACTAACGGCTCTCTTTTTTATTTTATTACTAATTTCTTCTTTTTTTCTTCGTAATTCAACATTAGCAGCTGATAAACTACTTGATCGAAAAGCAGGACCATTATTTATCGGCACTTGTGATTGTTGCGTTTTTATTATAGACGATGAAATTATTTCACCATTAGTTATAACATTTAATTGTTGTTGATTGTTTTCAATTTTTACTGATTCTTTTATTGTTGGATTAGTTGTTGTAAAGGATAAAAGACTTTTTTGAGATAAAGGTATTGATTGTTGTTGTTGTTGTTGTTGTTGTTGTTGCTGTTGCGGTTGTTGTTGTTGCTGCTGTAATAGTGGCTGTTGTCGTTGTGGCTGTAGTTGTGATTGTAATGGATACATACGATTTGAATTTATATTAGAATTCATGACAGTATTATTTTCTGTTATAGTTGCTACTTGAATAACATTATTTGTTGGAAGACCACCGGGTTTAGCTGATTTTGCAGGAATAAATGAACGTATATTAGCAGCTGTTGGCATAGGTGGTTTTGATTCAGTTGTTTTAACAAAATCTCGACGTATCATAACCTAAAATATTATATATATA